CACCGGCAATTCATTACGGCTTTTAGCTTCCCATCGCCGGCTAATTAAAAATACTAAGCTAAAGCTCCGAGACCGTCTGACTTGGGGAGGGGGGAGGGAGGCATAGGGAAGGGGGAGGGGGTGATAACGGTAGACTGCGAGGTTTGCTGAGACAATAAGGTGGGAGCGATCTGTCCTGACAAAAAGGTCGTCTGCTTTATCTCCTCGGACTCTAATTACTGAATTACTTACCGCATGACTGACTAGCACAAGCTCACGGGTTTTTCGCTGTTATTATTTTTTTTGCCCCCGAGACAGCCATTCGAAACTGATACGTGCCTATGCTGGTGGTTTGTTTTTTGGGTTCCCCGCCTCCCCCGCCCGTTTCCCCTCAAGTTACTTCAAGAAATCAGATCTGTCAGGACGGGCGAAAAAAATGCCACTTCCCAACTAACAGGCGGAATCCAGCCCAGATTTTCAGTCCTTTCTTCTTTTTTTCCTTCCTCCCTTTCACTAATTTATCCCGATGTTAGCACATTCTGTCTTGTAACACCCGGGCGCCTGTAGGTTTGTTTCGTGGGATCATTACTTACTGATCGGGATGGCTCCCGGGTCCGGGGCTGAAGACGGAGTGTGAAGTTGGGAAAACATTTTTTCTTTCTCTGTTTTTTTTTTTTTTTTTTTTTTTTTTTTTTTTTTTTTTTTTTTTTTTTTTTTTTTTTTTTTTTTTTTTTTTTTTTTTTTCCTTTTTTTTTTTTTTTTTTTTTTTTCCTGTTTTTTCTTTTTAGTATTACTGTGGTGATTATTACCTCTCGGTGCTTATTCAGGAAAAGCAAACAAACAAAAATCTGGTCCTTGATGCTTCACTTCTGAATGTGAAATATTACCTCCCAGCTCGTAAAGTTGCGAGGCACAGCTTTTTTTTTTTTTTTTTCTTTCTTTCTTTTTTTGCTTCTCTTTCTTTAAGCAAGGACGAAAAAAAACCTAGCCAAACAAACAGACAAAAAAAAAAAAAAAGGACTTCTGATCCGTGTGCCAAAGTAGGGGGAGATATGTTATTGACCGATTTATACTGGCTGAGATGATAGTTGCTTTCTACTTCTTGATCACTTGCTCTTTAAGTAAAATGAGGCACAGAGTTGTTGCTGAGACGAGTGGGAACAGCATTTTGATTTGCTGGTTTAATTAAAAATGATAAAGGATTAAAGGTAAGCATTATGCGTATATATGTATAAATATTTCGGCAGTCGACGGTAAAAGGGAGACATCCCTTTAAAAATCGTTTTAACTAAGCTTTGTCAAACACACACTCATTTGCGGTCACTGAGGCCACCTTGGTGCAGATCACTTAAAGTGTATGTCTTAATCAGTTTCCTGTACAGTCAGTAATACTATATTTAACAGACCTAACAATTGTGTGACCTAGGAATACATTAGAGCTGCTTTTAGAACTGTTATCTTAAGGATATTTTTTAAGAGAAATGATATTTTTTAAATTTCTTATCACTTTTTTTTTATATTTTAGCCTATGGATTTTAATATTTTCAGGTAAACATTTTAGTTTGTAGGTTGTTGTTTTTAACAGAAGGTGCATTGTGGCAGGGAAAATGAGGTTTCCCACTTCCCTTAGCACTCTCCTCCCCCACCCCCCAAGAGATTAAGTGGAAAGGAGGGGGTAAAAGATAATACTGGAGAGTCACAAACTTCAAGGGTCTGGTTTAAAGCCACAAAATCCATGGAATGCACTGAAGAGTGAATCCGTGTCCTTCCTTTTCTCCTTTTCGTGCCTAGGTGGTGGTCCAAGGGGTTAGATTACAACATGTGCTCCAACAGCTAGGCACCACTTCTCTGACTGTATTTCCTGAACTTTGTGGATTTAAATCATGTAGCTAATTTTTTTTCTTCTTTTTTTTTTTTTTTTCTTCTTTTTTATGGACATGGCTATTAAAGAGAGGTTGTGGATGTTGGTATACAACTAGATTAGAAGTGCTCATTATAAAAACACCACAGCCACTGTCTCTGGCTTAACAAATTTAAGAACGTGGCAATGCTTAATGTTTTTGCTCCCCCCTACCTTGCCCCCTCTTTATTGAGTGACGTTATATCATGGTAACACCCAGACAAGAAATACTTGACTATTTCCCTCCTCACAGGACAACGTGGATGTGGACTGCAGGTTGTGAGCCTAGACACACCTAGGGGAGGAAGACAAGAAGAGTTGAACTTAAGAGAGAGCCCAACGGAGATAAACGAATGTCCCCACATCTCCAAAGAAAAGTTCATCGGATTTTTACTCTAGAGATCTTATCTTCAGGATGTCATTGAACACTTCCACTGCAGGAAAAGGTGTGGATCCAAACGCAGTTGACACTTATGACAGTGGCGATGATTGGGAAATCGGTGTTGGGAATTTAATAATCGATTTGGACGCCGACTTAGAGAAGGACAGACAGAAATTTGAGATGAATAATTCTAATACCACCAGCAGCAGCAACACCAGCTCCAAGGATTGCGGGGGTCTGGCTTCCAGTGGGGTTAATGCTACCTCAGCCTTAGCTGATGGCCTAAAATTCGCTTCTGTTCAGCCCTCTGCTCCCCAGGGGAATTCCTCTCACAAAGAGACTAGCAAATCAAAAGTGAAAAGGAGTAAAACTTCTAAGGATGCTAATAAATCTCTCCCTTCTGCTGCCTTGTATGGGATTCCTGAGATCAGCAGTGCTGGCAAAAGGCAGGAAGTCCAAGGGCGCCCTGGAGAGGCAACTGGCATGAATTCAGCACTGGGTCAAAGTGTGAGCAGTAACCCAAACGGCAATAACAATAACACCAGCAACACCACCACCGTTGCCTCTTGTGGGAAAAACAAAGAGGAGAAACCAGGTAAAGCCCCAGGCAGCAGAGGCTCCAAGCGGGATAAGGATGCAGGAAAATCCAGGAAGGACAAGCAGCATGACCTGCAGCAGGGCCACCCCAATGGCAGTGGGGGTGGCAATAGCCAAATTCCCTCTGGGCACCTCTATGGCTTCGGGGCCAAGGGAGGCAGTGGTGGAAGCAGCAGCCCGTTCCACTGCACCTCCTCTGCTGTGGGGGATGTGAGCAAAAGTACCCCGGATTCAGGGTTAATGGGGAACTCTGTTTTGGTAAAGAAGGAAGAGGAGGAGGAGGAGAGCCACAGGCGAATCAAGAAATTGAAAACAGAAAAGGTAGGACAAAGCTCCTCTCCACCTCTTCTGTGTTTCCCCATGTCTATAATAAGTGTCCCATGAGTGTCCCATGACTGTATGTCTGGCTCCTCTGTCCTCTCTGCTGTGTTTGTGACATGCGTATGTCCTTCCTCCTTCCCTTAAAAAAAAAAAACAAAAAAACCAAAACCAACCCAGAGACCTGTTCCCTATGAGGAAGATACCATGTTTCCAGTGTGCTGCTCTTACTTGTGATTTCCTCTCCTGTCTTCAGACCTGGAGAATGTCTCTGTTTTGTCTGTTCGTTTTAATTGCACTTGCCCAGAAGGAGAAACGCAGAGATGACCCTGACTGAGCTGTCCCCAATTTTAGCAGAGAGCAGCAGTACCAGTGGGATGGCATGTGTTCACAGGCTGGGGCTGCACAGCTCAGGCTCCAGGCGCAGCAGGTCTTGTATGTGCTGACTCTTCCACAACATCAGCAGGCATTCATGGCCATTCCTCTCCCAAAGTCTAAAGGAACCCCTCTCCCTTTCTCTGACCCTCTGCCTAGAGCTGAGATTGTGCTTGGGGAGGAAACAGGCGCTGTGGGCAGAGACTGGGGCTCTGCCGTTGTGCTTCGTGGAGGCGCAGGATGCTTATTGTGTTGGGGGCTTCTGTGACACTGTAGCCCAGAGGCCCCAGAAGCTGGTGTGGCAACTGGGAGGAAGGAGCCAGCAGACAGGCAGTGCCTCTTGTCTTCCTGGAAGGAGGATGCTGGGAGGAGGGAAATGCACCTTGTGCTGAGAGTCTTGTGTGCAAAACAGCTTTTGGAACAGAGTGGAGCAGTTTGTCTCCTGTCTGGAGGAGTTTTCCTCTCTGAGCCATGCTGGCTCTTGGATTTGAAGTGCTTGTTTGTTGAGTGGTTGAAATGTGTGAAAGAAATCAGATGGGATGGGAGTGTGTGGTTTTATTCCTTTCTATTTTGGATGCTTTCTGTATGAATAGACGGCTGCTACTCTATTATTTGGGAAAGGTGGAGTGAGACATTGTTGTCTTTTGTCAACTGCTGGTTCAAGGATGTTCTGGTGTTGATGGGAGTTCTGTCCCTAGGGCAGAAGCCATCTTCTGGGGGTCCAGAGGGTGAGTGTTGGCCCAGGATTACAAGTATGGAAAATGCTACAGGTTGTTAAACAAAGAGAACCTGCTCTGCCTGAAAAATAAAGCAGACCAACATCTTCCAAATGAACAATCTCAGGGTTTTAATATTGTGACTGTATTGTCAGCTGTTTGTCCTAAATTACCTGCTTTTACAACTTCCCTGAGTGAACATTCAGCAGTGGGGAGACTTTCGGGTCAGTGTTAACTGTATGGTCTGCAAGTGTCTGGCAGAGCTGAAGGTCTCAGGGAGTGGGGAGTTATGTCTTCTCATGACTGGCTACCAGCTTTTTGTATTTCAGTCGTGAAGTTTTTGTAATACTAAGTCGCCTGGAGGATTAGATTTGGGTGTTTGTGCTAGCAGATATTTGTTAGTACTGGAATATAATTCCAAGGGATTCTGTTCAAGGCAAGGAACAAATTAAATTTCATATTGTATGCATATTATTGCTTTTAAGATAGCATATCTATGGTTGAATTTGAATGAGCCTTATGACCTTGTCTAAATGCAGATGAGAAAACCAGATTGCTGTGTAATTCACGTGTATATGTTTGCATTTTGATTTATGAAAAGTGCTGTTCACGGCAGAAAGGTGTCCAAAAATCTCATGGTCTCTTTATTATCTTAGTACAGTAGGCATTTACTTCTGTTGCCAATAGTCTTCAAATTGCAGTTCTCTAATCTGTTTTAACTATCTAGATAAATTGCCCTAATCCGGTCTTCACAATGGCTGTGGTTAAAGAGTCAGAGCCATTTGATTGGATTCAGTGGCTGCCTGGAATGTGGGAGGTACTGCCCTTTTGCAACCCCCTTAGCCTTTTAATCTCTCAGCCAAATGTTCACATTCAACAATTTTGTTTAGCTGGCAATCTGAACATTTCAGTATCTCAAAGGCTGCTGCCATGGCAACGGAGATTAGAGGGTGGTGTGGTTTCTCCCGTTTTTGTGTTCTTTCAACTCTCTAGTCACACAGGAAATTGTATGAAGAATCTATATACGTGCGAGTAATCTTATGTGCAATGTAAATGGGATGGCATGCAAATTCAGAGCAAACACGTATGGAGGAGTTCAGCGTCAGTGGCACACTCTGTGTGTTGTAGATGTCGCTCCAGGAGGAGGTCTGGAGCTTGCATTTCCAGCAACAGCCGCTGCTGTTGGCACACACCGACTTTAATACAGGCTCTGCACACCAGAGTCGTGCAGCCTTGGCCATTGTCTGGCACAATGGTGTGCTTGCTTGCTATCTTAAGTAAAGTCCCTTAGCGTTTTTCTGAGCCAAGAATGTTGCCTTTTATATTAATAATAATAATGTTGCTTGTTGCTGATACTGGTTGATATTTTAGGTCCAGCCGGTGGCAACATTATTAACATTTGAGTGTTTTATGTTTGTTGTTCTGCTTTTTTTTTTTTTTTTTATTTTTTTTTTTTTTTTTTTTTTTTTTTTTTTTTTTTTTTTTTTTTTTTTTTTTTTTCTTTCTCTCTCCAAATGATTAATCGTTATTGGAAAGAATTCTTTAAAGGCTTTAGATCGTTGAAGTGTTATTGCTTTGACTGTTTATATGCTAGAACATATATGCCATACTTGCACAAAGCAACTTGTATCTGTAGATAAATACATAATTTTCAGCCTGCATGTTGAAATCAATGTTCAGTTATCTTACTGTTGTGCAAGATATGCCTCATGAATTTGGAAGTTTCCTTTTAGAATCAGATGAGTTCGTGACTGCTGATTAAAAATCTACATGTTTTTATACGTGGTATGGAATATAATACTGCATTTGTTTACTATTTGTGAAAAGCTTGGAGCAGATTCCCAGGAGTTGTAGTCACTGTTTAGCTTTCACAGCATGCTTCAATTCTATTTTTAGTCTATTTATTATGTTTCCTTGCTGCAGAAAGTCATGTAAAACATGATAAATTGGATCTTACGAAGCCTAATTAAATCAATGACTGTGTTCTGCTGGCTCTTTTATGCAGAAACCGCAAGTATGTTGTAAAAGTCGCCACTCCCCTAATATGTGGATAAAGTCAAAGTGTGCTGTAATTCTAAGATGTTTGAGCTATATTTGTGCAGTCCATTTTATGGCTAAGCCAACAGTGACATGTCTGAATAAGTAGCTTTGACAGGTAGGCTAACCACTCCTAAGATTTTTGGTGTTAAAACCTGTCTCCATTTTCCATTTCTTATCCATACTGTTTTTAGCACAGTTACTGACTGTTTGTCAGCATGAACCCTTCATCTGTTCCAGCTAAGCTTTTTTTTTTTGTTTTGTTTTTTAACAGCTGTTTCATTGAAGTGTTCAGAATAGCTACAAAATTTGCTTTGTATGCATTGTGAGGAGATTTTGGAATTCATTCAGTCATGATTTACTCTGAGATATGGGAAAACTTCATTTAGTATGTGAAAAACAGTATGTTTACATGAAATTAATGCTGTAGATCCAAAGCTGTAATCAGAAGGGTTTAGTTACAATTCTAAATGTCTAGTGATACTCCAGGATGGAATTTTTCTCTTTTTTTAGCTTAATGCTTCTCCTTAAGATTGCATTTCACATTCGAAAGTCGTCTTTAGCAAATTAGCGTGTTGGTTAGTATTATTTATTTTATCTTCACTTTCCTTGTTGTGTTTTAGTGTTAGGATTTGATAGTGTTTTTTATGCCGTCAGGAATCTCTGGGTGAATTTTACCCATTGATGTAAATCATTTAAGTACATGCTTTGATTAATGATGTTATGGAGATATGCTCTTCATGTACTTTTCTTGCTGGCCTTGTGTGTAGTTTATTCACTGTGAAATAAAAGGGCAGGGAGGTCACTTGCTGTAATTAAAGAACAAAGTCTATTGTTGTTTGACAGCAAACTGTTTTGAAAGCTACATAAGGGATTTAGCTGTTAAAAACATTGATAAGTATGGGTGTCTAACAATAAGCACCGCTCAAGGTTCTTAAAGTTCTGTAGTGCTGTCTAGTAGTGTGACAGTGCTTTTTGAGCTGGGTGAAGAGGTGTTGCCCTTTGGCCGAGGAAAGCTTTCCGTGTGAACCTGCTGACCTCTGCCAATATGTATGACCAGATCTTCTATTGAATTCCTGTGCAAAGCAAGAGTTAGTGTAGCACAATGGAGGCTGGTCTAGAGCATCTATCAAACAAAGTAGGTAAGCTGATAACCATATTCAGAACTACGGGAAAATATTTCACTTTGGGCATTAGTAATTTTACAATTTTAATAACTTCTTAAATACCCAGTAAAGAGGAAAGGACTGATTGTCCAGATGTCATGAGGTTAACCGTGTTCTCTATGTTAAAGGGCTTTCCTGCAAGACTGTTTTAATTATAGCTATATAAAGACTTGTTTTTCCAAAGTAGCATTTTATAGTCCAATAAATGAAATGTATGTTAAAAGTGCTAAGCAAAATCTCCCGTAACCATAGAGGTGTTCAATAACCAGATTCAAGTAACATGGAAAGTACCATCTGTTTCTAGTTTTCAGCATAAGCTCAGGAATTGAAAAGCTGAGATTTGCTCGTATTTTTCCGACTCTCTTTCTTTTTTTAATTATTATTATCATTATTTTAAAAAGTTCACCTGGCACTTTATAGAAACTTTCTGAAATGCAATAATACAGGAGAGACTGTGAAAACACATGTTCGTACATACAGTTAACCAGTTCCACTTTCATTTAGAGATTTCCAGAAGCTCAGTCATTGAAGAATTTATAATAGTGAATCACCTCCTGCAGGCAAACACAATAAGGGTCAGTTCTTCAAAGGTCTTGCTATTGAGGTAGAACCTGATTTACTCTGTCTTTCCTTACGAAGTAAAACGAATGGGAAAAAATCCCCACAACCCCCCCAACAACAACAACAACCAAAAAAAACCCCCAGTCAC